CTTCTTGCCTTTAAAGCTGCCTGAGAGATTTCAAGATGCCACTGTTGGTTGTTATGGTGTACCTCAGGATTTAATTTAATTTTCAGCCTGTTTTGTTTTTAAACTCTCTTTCCCTTACCACACAACTTGTTCTGGCCTTTCCTGTATTAAAAACAAACAAACAAAAACCGTTTAGGGCCATCTCTTGGGCTGAGAGTATCTGTGCTCATGCGTGGCAGAAGACCCCACCAGTGGTACGGGTGGGGCATGTCCACTCACTCAGGCACCCCCTCTAGTCACCAGAATGGAGGTGCACAAACGGGGGAGGCAATGAACAGATACCAAAAAAAAAAAAACAAAGAAAATCAGAACAAAGCAAAATGGACAAAGTGTATTGTCCACCTTGGCTCCGAGGTTCTCACAGCATTTTTCCGTGGTGTGTCTGCTCCCCCGTTTGGTCTTGCTGTTTGGTCTTGCCCAAGTTGTCAGCTCTAGGCCACCAAGCCCAGAAGATTAAAAGTACACGATTTCTTACTTTCACTACAAGTTCCACTAGCTATAAGTCTTCAAACTTTTAAATATTCCTACCTATGTGGTTCTGAGTTCTGGAGTTCTGCCCTGAGTCTGCTTTGCCTGATATTCTGTGGTATTGCTGATGGCGAACCTCACTGTACCGCTACCCTAGCTGCCATCCTATTGTATGTAGTATATTTTATATCAGCTATAACTTGACAGTTTTAGTATAATTTTCAGTTATTTTTTGCCTGACAGTGCAACTAATAAATAGAAATAAGCAGAGGTATTACTATTTAGGCAGTAAGAAAAACTGAAGTAAAATAATAATTAATTTGAGTAAAATTGCTATTGATAAATTTTAATGATTCATAATTACATAGCTCTTTTATGGTACAATAGGCCGTCACTAAATAAATTGCTGAAAATATAAATAACTGGTCCTAAATCTGAAGTAGTACCACTTAATCATATTCAAATTATAGTCCTCTTGGAAACTTGGTTTTACAGTTGCTAGTATTGTTTTCAATGCACATATGTTTCTTAATCACAGGAAGGAATATCTAAATAAAATGAACATACTACAATATCGTTGCTGTTGTTAAGTACCGTTGAGTCAGTTCCTACTTATAGCGACCCTGTGTAGGGTTTCCAAGGAGTGACTGGTGAGTATGATCCGCTGACCTTGTAGTTCAAACTGATGTTGCAGTCCAGTGCCTTATCCCACAGCATCACACTAGAACACCATACTACAATATTGGTTGGTTGATTATGTGCCATGGAGTCGGTTCCAACTCATAGCAACCCTGCATAGAGTTTCTGAGGCTGTAAATACTTACAAGAGCAGAAAGCCTCATCTTTCTCCCACATAACATCTGGTAGTTTCAAACTGCTGACCTTGAGGTTAGCAGCCCAATTCATAACCACAACGCTAAGTGATGTGAAAAGCCCATATTTTCTTTTTCTGAATAATAAATGCCACTTTCTTGAACAGGAACTTGCTTATCTTATTCTTACATAATAATGCATATTATATATTCTTACTGATACAAATGTTTTATGAAACTGTTTATGGATTATAATCTGAGTGAATTTGGGGTAACAGTAACATTCATTTGCTTATGCAGTCTGTTGAATTTGTTTTGAACATGCAGTTGTTCATTGACTCTGTTCCTCATGGGTGGGAATTCTTATGAAAAATGTTAAGTCCTGCTAAAGGATGTTTGAAATATTTTGCTTTGTGATTGCACCCTTTGCTCTGTTGTTTGTGTGTGTGTTTATTTGTTGTGTGTTTTTTTTAAATTCATAGAACATTTTAAATATTCTTGTACTGCCATTCTAAGTGTACAGCAACACTGTCCAAAGAAATAGAGGAGGAGAATAAGAGTTGAGAGTGGAATCTGTCAAGAGCAGAGGGATATAAGATAGAAGTGTACTGCTGAGTTGTGGTTGGATTGCACATAGACCAGGACAGGAAATCCCCAAGGCACCAAATCCCTAAGGTTCACTAAAACATTACAAAAAAGAAAAGGAACTATTAAAAAAAAAACAAAAACATTTAAGCCCTCACTCAAGTGTAATTTAAAGACTTTGTAACATATACAATTATATAAGATGGAAATTTTATTTCATTCTTTATAAATAAGTAAAATTTGAAGGTCATAACTGAGTAGCCTGTTACAGCTGCTCAACTAGTAAGTAGTTGGGCTAGAATTTAGACCCCAACTTTTGCTGATTCCCTAACTGTGTTCTTCCCTTTCACTATACTACAAGTGCAACTGAAACCACTGAAAGGAATGAATAAGTCAGAGAAAATGAATAATGTTCCACAGAAGGCAAGCATAAAGCTTTTGGATGTTTGTGATTCTGTACTTCCTTTCAAGGTTTATGCAGCAGTGTGTTTTGAAAAATAACAAGGGAAATACTTGAAAGCGGTTTTTTGATTGCTCTCTATTTGGATACAGTACTGGAAGTTTTTCTAAGACAATAATGTTATCATGCCAGATCACCTAAATCCTTATATTTTAAAAGAGCATCATTATCTGAAAAACAGATACTACTGAAAGAAAAGTCTGTTTCAGAATTGCATAGTATCATGATTCCTTGATTATGTTCTTTAATAGTTTGCTACTAAAATTATTTAGATAGTCTTTGATTTTCCTATGTAATTTGAAAGGCTTGGTGTTTCAGAAGGCAGAAGCTGTTCAGGAAAAAAGTGGGACAGTATCCATTGTGACACATTCTGAAATTGATTATCTCCCCCTTTGTGTTATGTGTGCTCTCACTGTAATCATGTACCATAATAATTATAAGAGATAATAAAATATGAGCGATATAATATTCCTCTGAAGTTAGTAGAATAAGTAATGTAAGTCGTGCTAGGCAGTGTGCTTCCAAGTGTGTAGAAATCAAACATACATTTCCCCACTGATGTCATATTTTGTTCCCCTACCCACTCTTCCCAGGCAGGTTTGAAGTTTGTGGAAAAGTAGAATTAAAAGATCTGTAACTTTTTCCATGAACTTTTTGAAGCCATCTCTTACATGCTTTATTCACTTCCCCTTCCTAACGTACACTGTGGCAGTGAGCTTCTCATTCTCTGACACTCAGAATTACTTTTCGTGACTTCTTTGCCCCTTTGGACTGCCCTGTATTTTAACCTGTTATGAATGTGAGGGTAAAGAGAATCAGGGGCTTCTTTTTAAGATTTGCAAAGGGTACCATAACTATGATGATTATAAATAAAAAATTGAAGACCTTGGCCTGAAAAATTCAAATGTACTTATTGGTATCTGGTACTGTCCAGGAACTGTACAACAGTGGTCATGTAATTTGAAGTCCCAGGGGATGGTCTTAGTATTTTCTTGTATCCCTTCAGAAAGGTAGATAAAGTAAGTTAATATTTATCTTAATGCGTTATGTTTTTTTTGTTGTTAAGTGTTGTTGAGTCTGTTCCGACCCATTGTTACCCTGCATAGGGTTTCCAAGGAGCAGCTGGTGAGCTTGAACTGCTGACTTTGCAGTTCAAAATGACTTTGCAGTTCAACGCATTAACCCACAGCACCACACCAGGACTCCTGATGTGTTATAATTTAAATATAAATTAGAGAAATCTATTTTCGTTTAATGTTATATCTCCACTATGTCAAACTTTCATATACAGGCTAAACTAAGATATTCTTGTTTCAATCAATTACTTAGTAAGAAATTTGTTCAAACATGAATGAATTTCAGTGAGACTACTTGGTAAGATTATTTTGACTTCCTCATTTACCCCAAGTAGAAATCATTTCCTCGTTCTCACTGCTGTGGTCATGGATAGGCAGGCAGTAAGTGCAAATGAATGAGCAGATGCCAAGGTAAGGGCACAGAACCAGGATTCTAGTTTTTGGTGGTTTTTTGTTTTCATTTTGGTTTTGTCTTTTCTTTGCCATCCTACACATTTTTTTTGGGGGGGGGGTGGAGTTTAATCGGTAAAGTTCAAAAGAAGCTTTCATGTTTTAGTTTACATCACAGGTCTCAGTGTAGTCAAGCAGTTCTTTGTACAGATCTTGGTTCAAACTTATTGTACTATTATTTGTAGACCTAATCATAGCTCTGCTAGTAGCTAGGTACTTGAAGTGCTTTAGAGCTAATCATGTTCAGAGAACAGTTGAGCACTTTGATAAAGACTTAAGCCGTTTTGTTTTTCTTTACTCATGAAAAATTAATGTATGTGTGTTTTCTTTTTTGTTTAGTTGCTGATCATCTGGGCTGTGATCCTCAAACACGATTCTTTGTTCCTCCTAATATCAAACAGTGGATTGCCTTGCTGCAGAGGGGAAATTGTACATTTAAAGAGAAAATATCACGGGCTGCTTTCCACAATGCAGTTGCTGTAGTCATCTATAATAATAAATCCAAAGAGGAGCCAGTCACCATGACTCATCCAGGTAAACAACAAAAGGGGGTTGTTTTCTTCGAGAAGTCGTTCTTACAGAGGTAGATGTGCTATCACTGCTAAAACCATGTACCTTTCAACATAATCTTAATGAATCTTTAATATTACTATTTCTTGAAATGCTTGTATTTTGCCCTTAGTTGAATTTTCTTTCTTTATTTTCCTCTTAAATAATGACAATAAGAGGCTGTGAACTTACACTTATTCAGTAACTTGACTATGATTGAATCCTCAGTCTTTTTGTGTTGTCTACATTTTGCATGATAACTTTGAAGAATGATGTATTTCATTTAGAATCATTCACCCAGTTTATATCATGGATTATCAAGGATTGCTTGTTTGGGAAGGATTCTTTTTTCCTCATCAAAATAAATATTCAAACTGACTTAGTATAATTACAGTAGTAACAATAATGCTTCATTTTTTTATGGAAACATTTAAGATAAAGTAAATTTTGATAGTAGTGGCAGTTTATTGAGCACTTACTATATATATATATATATATACACACACACACACACACACACACACACATATATATATATATATATATCAGGCACTGTACTACAAGCAGTTTTTATATTTATTTTCTTAGCCAGTCCTTACTGTACCCATTATCTTGGTTATCTAATGCTGCTATGAACAAATACCACCAGTACATGACTTTTAACAAATAGAAATTTATTTCCTCACGGTTTGAAAGTCCGAGTTCCGGGTACTGGATCTAGGGGAAGACTTTCTCCCTCTCTCTTTCAGCTCTGGAGGAAGGTCATTCCTAGTCTCTTCAGTTTTTAACTTTCCAGTTCCATGGACATCTCCGTGTGTTTTGGCATCCATTTTGATCTATCTCTGATCTGCTTGCTTGTTTAATTTCTTTTTATCTCAATAGAGATTTATCCAAGATACACCCTACACTAAGCCTGTCTCATATAACCATACCCAAATGAGACTATAACCACAGGCATAGAGATGAAGATTTATGCACTTGGGTGTGTGTGGGGGGGGGCACAATTCAATCTATAACATTCCACCCTTTGCCCCCCCCCACCAAAAAACCATGTCTTTCCTATATGCAAACCATTCACCCCATTACATCATCGCAAAAGTTTAAAATCAACTTCAAATCTGAAATCTCATTTTTTTGAATCATCTAAATTAAATACAAGTGAAATTTTAGATATATTCCATCCTAGGGAAAAAATACCTTTATATCTGTGAACCTATAAAATCTAGAATACACATATCTGCTTCCAAAGTACAATGGTAGAACAGGCATAGGTAAACATTTCCAATACATATAGGAGACATTGGAGAGAAAGAAGGGATAATGGGTACTCAGAATGTCCAAAATGCAGCGGAAAAATTTATATTAGCTCCTCAAGGCTTGAAAATAATTCTCTTCCCTGAGACCATCTGAGTAATAGCCGTGCCCCAGACTCTTAGTGTTGGCCACACTCTGGATTCTGTGGGGATGTCCCTTGTCTCCAGGCTTCAGCTCTGCCTTCTAGGCTCAGTGGGACAACAGCTCTGTTCCCTTGACTTTGGATGCACCATTCTCCTAGTCATCTGAATGATGGCATCACCCTTTAGCCACTCCAGTCTTCTTCTCCTAGGGCACGGCAGCCCTACCCCCTCAGCTTTGGACAGTGTCCTTGTTCTCTTGACCAAACTGAATGGCTGCCCCATACTCTGAAACCAAGTTACTGTAGTCATCTACATTAAAAAATCCAAAGATTTGACTCCTTAAAACCTAGGAAGCTTTGATTCTACCCTTCGAGACCCAAGAGATCATGGCCTCACACTGAGACCAAAGCAACTTTACTGCTAATAGATTTCGAAGAGTTAGTGTTTTTTTCTTTTGCTCTTTCTCTGTCCCCTTTAGTATAATTTGATGGGTTTTCTGCTGTGCTAGTTGGTTAAATCCATCAGTCACAGGCTTAATGTCTTTAACAAAAGATTATGTAGCCACATCCTTAGTTTATACAACAGAATTTTTCAAATTTATAAAGTTTTATGTTCATTTTGCTCAGTTTATTTTTATGTCCATCTGTTCCATTTTGCATTTTACTGTAAACGGCAGGGAGAAAACACATGGTCCCTTTAAGATCTTGCATAGAAATCTCCTCAGCTAGATATCCAAGTTGATCCCTTACAAGTTCTACTTTTTGAGCATACTTCAGAAAACTCTTTGCCACTTCATAAAAAGCATCATCCTTCCTATACTGTCCAATCTCAAATGATCATCAAAGCCTCACAAGAAGCACACTTAATGTTTGTATTTCTAGCAACATTTTATTTCTTTAATGGCTAGTGATCGTGAACATTTCTTCATGTTTGTT